CCTTTCTTTTTCTTTCAATTTTTGCACTAAAGAGGATGGGATTCTTGTTCTGAGGGATTGGTGATTGAATGTCCATTACAGGTTAAAATTTTGGGGTTTTTGCATTTCTAACCTTATTTTTGCTCTCTTCCCAATTCTGCTGCACGCCAGGTGTTCGTAGAAATTCCCAAACCAGCTTTTTTCATTTCAATGGCTCCTAGGGTTATTTCCAAGTGTGCTCGTTCATTTGAGGGCCCTTCTAATGTTCCTCTGACCCCAAATTGGGCTGAATGGCCAATTGAAACTGAAGCCCGATTTGACATTGCAAATACTTTCGAGAACAATTTGGAGACCGCATGGTCCATCCGCGAATTGAGGGCCCATGGCCTGGCCTCTCTTTTCAAACCGCGCGCGCATTCTTACTACCCACGTGTGGTCCGTCTATTCTACACCAACATGTTCCACTCATGTGAGGAACCGGATAAACTCAAAACCACCATTGATGGCTATGATTATGAATTCGACTTGGATGACCTTGCTATGGCTATGGATTGCCCCTTGGTTTCACCGGTGGATGAGGCGGGCCTCGCCCTTTATGTTGAAGGTCCCGATCAGCTTACCTTAGTGGACATTGTGGGAGAAATTTGTCATGGTCAATTCACCGGCAACAGAACCACAAGCACTAATAAATCTTTCTTACCATGCCGGTTATGGTTTCTTGATTCGGTCCTGGCTAAGAATGTCCTACCCGTGCCAGGCCATTCCGAGCGCAAGGGGGATTTTCTGAAAACACTCTGCTATGCTAAAAAGGAGAGTTGGTTTTGTGTCCCACAGCTTGTCTGGGACCAATTGCTAAAAATCTACAATGAATTAATCTTGGTTTGGTCACGTAGCACCACCACCTGGGCATTCCCATTTCCATACCTTATTACAAGGTTGCTCAAAAATGCGGGGTTCGAGCTCCCCGTGATGAGCAAAAAGAGAAAGATGTGTTGAACTTCAACCTTGGAGTTTGGAAGTCCAGCACAGCTCAACTTCAGATGTCTCGTCAGGCCCGCATTGGTGACGAGTTGGATTGGGGTGCTCCGGCCCCCCCTGTGGCTCCTGCTCCTTCTACTCCTGATGCCTATGCTTCTCTAGCTGTCCCTTTTGTACCGCCGCCAGATGTCATGACTCACGCCGACTATCTCGCCTTGAATGCTCATCTTGATACCTTTTCTTTGCGCTTTGACGCCATAGAGGGTGCCGTCCAGAAGACTCAGGAGAATCAAGAGATTCTGCAGGCTATGCTCCAGTCATTAATTGACCGTGCACCTAGCGCACATGGTGCTTCCTCCTCTACTCCAATGGTGGAGTGATTTCATGTTTTTCGTCAAATTTCCCTTTTCAGTAGTACTTTTTAAACTTATTTTGGGCCGCGTTTGGCATTTGCTTTTCAGTTTTTCTTTTGAACTTATAACTGCATCACTTTTGCTACTTTACATGGCTTTTAGTTTTTAGTCAAATAAATTGCAGTTATTTTCATTTAATTTGGATTCATATGATTCTTGCCTTGTATAGATATCTTTTGACAGGTTTTTGAAACCAAGTTTAGGGTCCTGGAATTCACGAGCTGGCCTATATTTGCACCGCCACTCTAATCCTCTCAACTTGGTACTATTATTCCTTTCCCCCTTTGTTCATTCTCTCTGCTTGTCCCTTGTCTTCTCACATTGGGGATAATGTGATATTCAAGTTTGGGGGTGCATGTGCATGCTAATACATTTTTGGTGCATGAGCATGTTATTGCAGTTTTGATATTTTTGCTCATTTGATATTTTTGCTCATTTTTTATGCTCGTAAGTTAATAAAATTATATTGTTTAAAGGGAACATTTTGAAGGTTGAAGCATGTGCTTTATACTTTGTGTATAGAAGCCAAGACAAATTTTTTGAAAATAAAGAAACTTTTGAATTAAACATGTTGATTCATAATCGGTTTGTATAAAAACTTCAATTAAATTTTCGTCGGATTTCATACTCTGTTATGCTTCACATTGCACATTTGCACACCGGAAACCTAATTGTGAGGTATGCAACCCAAATTGACCCTGATCGGGACTCGATGACCTGAATTAATGACCCTAATGAATGGATATCCTTGGCATATAAAAAATAATAATAATAAATATATATATATATATATATATATATATATATATATATATATATATATATCAATGACCGGTTGAAGTTCGTAGCCTTTCCAACTCAAGTTATTAAGCTCTAGGAGTGTTTCTACACTTAGCACCCTAAAGCCATCTGGCTTAGGAGTTGTTGGCCTAAAACTTGTTACATGGGTTGGTTAGAAAGCTTAAAGAACTTAGACATTGCACGGTTGTTCAAAAATAAATAAAGATGGTTCGTCGAAATTCGTAGCCTTTCTAATTCGAGTTATTAAGCCCTAGGAGTGTCTTTAAACTTAGCACCCTAAAGCCATCTGGCTTGGGAGTTATTGGCCCAACACTTGCTACATGGGTTGGTTAGAAAGCTTAATGAATTTCGACATTGCACGACCATAGTAGGTGATCTTTTGAGTTGATCAATAAAATTGTCAATAAGCAACAAAATTTTTTCAGTTAATAAAGTTATGCCTTGGAGACCTCATTTAGAAAAAGATTTAAGGATGTGAAAATGTGTTCTTGAGATTGGAAAAAGAGGGTAAAAGCCACATATTAGGAAACCGGCTCACTTTCATTGAAGTTAGAGTTCATGTTATTCAAGAGATGACAATTGAAGTGTTTATATAGACCTTGATGATTGATGCATTTAAGTTGAACTTGTTTTGCCATTTTGTGTTAAGGCTTCATATATGCAAGGCAGTCTGCCTAATGTCTATCTTCAAAGTTTCTGTGTCCCAAATCATAGTTGAGCTTCGTCGATATTTTTGTTTCATGATTGATGCATGTGTTAGCATTTCATTGGTCGTCATTTGCATTAAGCTCTTTGTCTTGTTTTGCTAAGAGACTAGCAAAATGTAAGTTTGGGGGTGTGATAAATGCCGAATATTACATATTCAAGTGCCCTTTCTTGCATTAGTTAAGTCCATTATTAGAGGATAATGTACAATTTTAATTCAGTTGTGTATTTCTTTTTGATTTCAAGTATTTTTCCCGAAAATGATCAAAGAAACAGTTTTGACAACTTTCTGTTGAAATACGTGCATCGTGTCGAGGAGTCATCTTCGGGACCTAACCTCTTCAGTCGCTGTTTTTGTGAAGTTCGTGGCTTAGTGTTCATAGTGGAAGCTGTGTCAGTGCTTCAGCTCAGAAAGGCTTATGAGAAGCCTTGATGTAAAGCTGCAAATGGCAAGCTCCTGCGGGTGCCCGCCAAACCCCCCTACTCCCTGCCAACTTTCGCGAGCCCTTGATCAACAGCCGTGGAAGCCCCCGCGAGCCACCGAGAGCGCCCGCGGCGCCAACGCGGGCGCCCGCCAAACACGCCAGTGCCCTCTTCGAATTTGCAAGCTCCCGCGGGCGCCCGCCAGGGCCTCGCGGATGCCAGCCGATCTGCAGTAGGCAGTTCAACTGCCCCTGAATTTCAGCATTTTGGTCCCCTTATCCTTCTTTTGTGTGGTCTAGCTTCATGCAGAGGGGGGAGCTTGGGATTTTGAGTATAGGGAGTAGGTTTTTAGTGTATATAGAGGGGAAGCTCATCATTTTGGATATATCCCATATTTTTTGTTAAGTTCTAAAGAAAGAAAGTAGTATAAATGATCATTTTGTGTTAAATATCTTGTCTTAGATTGTTTTTCTCTCATGATTATATTGCTACATTTTCATAGTGACAATGGAGATGAGTTCATGGAAGTGTTTTTATTGGCATGATATTTAAGAATTTTGATAATCTATTGCTTAGGGCTTTCCTTTGATAGATTCTTCTTGATTTTTATTTCATATGCTCTTATTATGAGATTAAGGGCTTGATAATCTATGGCTTGGTGATCATGTCTAAGGTTGCATCCTAGTTTAGGTAACCAAAACATGTAAGCCTTGATAGGTTATTCTTGTATCTTGATTTTATATATTTCTTGAAGGTAATGTATCAATGTTGTGTTGTTGCATTCCACGGTTATATATATATGTATTTCCCCAAGTAAATCATTTCTGAGCATACTTATTGATGGGTAGTGGATTCACTTCCCTAGTCCCTTTTTAATTGTCTTTGCCTCTTTTCTTCTTAGCATTAATGTTTTATGCATTTTTCAATTCATAATCTTAGTGACAATCCAACAAATCCTCTATAACCCCCCTTTATCATTCTAAAAATGACTCTAGACACCTAAGTTGCCATAAACTAGCTGTCCCAGTGGTTCGACTCACCCGACCAATTGCCATATTTTACAATGATTTGTGCTATTGCAAAAAGGGTTAAATTATAATTGATAGTCCAGCCTTCGATCACCTGTGACACTAGATATTGGTAGACTTAGATTTCCAGCCAATCTATTAGCCCTGGACATGCATTCTTATGATGTGATACTTGGGATGGATTGGTTATCTCACTACCATGCCCAGGTTAATTGTTATGATAGGTCTATATTATTTGTTATACTGAGTCAGGATATGTACGTCATCGATATGCCACGTTCTAACGGGTTTCTAGCATAAACTTGTTCTACGTTGAGGAGAAGTCTGAGGAGAAGATTATTGTATCACTAGATAGCATACCGGTTGTACAAGAATTTTTGAATATCTTTCGAGAGATTCCAAGATTGCCACCTAGTCAAGAAATAGACTCGTGACTAACTTAGCTCCAAGCATTACACCTATTACTAGGGCACCATATAGGATGACACCAATAGAGATTCGAGAGCTTAAGGATCAAATTCAGCAACTACTTAGTCAGGGTTTCATCCGTAGCAGTACTTCACCCTAGGGAGTGCCAGTTTTTTTTGTGAAGAAGAAGGATGGTTCACTTTGCCTATGTATAGATTACAGGGAGTTGAATAAGTTTACTATTCGTAACAAGTATTCATTACCTATGATCGACAACCTTTTTGATTTGTTGAAGGGAGCTACTTATTTCTCTAATATTGATTTACGTTTTGGCTATCATCAACTTCAAGTCAGGGAGTAAGATGTTCCTAAGACAGCGTTTCTCACTAGATATAGTTCTTACGAGTTCTATGTCATGCCTTTCAGGTTGACTAGTGCACTAGTAGTCTTTAGTTTGTGATCGTATTCATTGATGATATTTTGGTCTATTCTAAGTCAGAAGATGATCATACTAAACATCTTCGCACAGCGTTGCAGACACTTCGTGAACATCAGTTGTATGCCAAGTTTGAGAAGTACGACTTTTGGCTGCGAGAAGTGAAGTTTCTAGGTCACGTGGTGTCAGAGATAGGGATATCAGTAGATTCTACCAAAGTCTCAGCAGTTTTAGAGTGGGGACAACCTACTTCATCTTTGGAGATTTGGAGTTTTTTGGGATCAGCAGGATATTATCATAGGTTCATTCAGGGGTTTTTGAAGATAGCGGGACCACTCACTCACCTGACTAAGAAAGGTGTACCGTTCGTATGGGATAAACACTATCAGAAAGCTTTTGATGAGTTGAAGAACAAGTTGACTTCTGTACCTGTTCTGGCTACTCCATAGAGCGAGATGGAGTATTTTGTCTATAGGGATGATTCTTTGTAAGGTCTTGGATGTGTTTTGATGCAGGAGGAGCGACCAATTTCGTATGAGTCTCATAAGCTTAAGCCTCATGAGCTTAATTATCTGACACGATTTGGATTTAGCAACTATGGTCTTTGCCTTATGCATTTGGAGGCATTATTTGTTAGGAGTGTCCTTCAGACGATTTAATGATCACAAGAGTCTGCAGTATTTGTTTATTTAGTGGGTGCTGAATATGAGTAGCGTAGATGATTGAAGTTTGTGAAAGACTATTATTTCTCTATACAATGTGGTAGCGAATGTGGCAGCAGATTCACTCAGTAACCGACACTATATTAGTCTTTCTGCATTATTCGCCACTAAGTGGGATGCTTTGAAGATGGTTGATGAGTGGTCTGATGCTTTTATGGTGTGTATAGTAGTCACACCATCTATCATTCATCAAATACTTAAGGTTTAACTTACAGAGCGATACATTAATAAAATTGCAGAGTTAGCTTCTAGAAAGGTTTCATTCTATTCAGTTAGGACAGATGGAAGCTTGAGGTACAAATGGCACTTAGTAGTACCTTTTGTTGAGATTTGAGGAAGGATGTGATGATAGAGGTTTGCAGATCTGAGTTTTTTGTTCAACCAGGTGGAGATAAGATGTATCAAGATATGAAGCGACCGTTTTACTGGGTAGGTATGAAGATGGACATTACTATTTTTGTCTCTATGTGTAATACTTGCCAGATGGTCAAGATTGATCATCAGAGACCGCTAGGTTCTTTGCAGCTACTTCCTATACCAGAGTGGAAATTGGAGAGCATTTCTATAGATTTTGTGGAGGGATTGCCTAATTCCAATGGGAATCACAATTCTATTTGGGTCATCATGGACAGATTGACTAAATCAGCTCATTTCTTGCCTATTCACACTGATTTCACTTCAGAACAGTTGGTGAGACTATACATTACAAAGATTATGAAGTTACATGACATACTGTTATCCATCATATTGGATAGGGATTTAAGCTTTGTATCAGGATTTTGGGAGAGCTTTCAACAGGCTTTGGGTATAGAGTTACATCTTAGCACTGCTTATCACATCCAATCCCGTAGGAGATGCTAAGTTTCCTCCCCCAAACTTATACCTGATAATCTGTCAAAATAAACTGGGTACCAAGTGTAAAGCATAGACATTTATATAGATTGAAATTTGAAAAACCATTCATGCTTTATTATAAAACCAGGAAGAAAACCAATATTCGTTCACGAATGAATGCGTAGCACTTATATCAAACAAAACACGACCAAATCTACCGTGAATAAGAAACATACCCTCAATAGCCTGAGGTGTCTGAACGTTATGTGGCATGTGGTTATACACCCTGCCATACTGTAACTATTACGGTGCCTATCCTTATGGCAGCGGCGTTGGTAAAGTTGGGAATGTCTATCCCTAAATACATGGAATCTGTGGAGCAGGTAAAGGTCTGCTGTCCTTTCTGCATCTGCTGTCCCTATCTAGCCTTAGGACACTGCCTAGATGTGTCTCCAAGCTCTCCACAATTATAGCAATTACCCCTAAATGTACCAAACTATCTCTTCTGTTAGTTAGATGTGGCTGACCCTGTCTTACCTGTGGTCCCCCATTCTGTTATCTCTAAATAGGTGCCCCATCTCTCTAACCATATGAACCACCCTTTTGCTTCTTCCAAGTTTGTTTCCCTAGAATCTGCCCTTGTCATTGATGAGTATAAATTATTACCACTTGCAATAGCACAAATCAATGTAGAATAAGGCTATAGTAAAGGGTTGTTGAACCATAAGGATTGCTAGTTTATGGCAACCAAAATTATACAATTGCTTTTTAGTTGAATAAAAGAGATGATAGTTTGATTGGTTTATCACTTAAAAACTATGGAATGGAATTGCAATAAAACAGTAAATAAAATGAATTCAAATGGATTAAACTTATAGAAATAAATGCTAGTGAATTAACTTCACCAAAACCTCATAAATATGCTAACTTGCACTCAACTTGGGGATAAACAACTACGTCTATAAAATGATGTTTAGAAGTATAAAACAACCATAACATCTTCAAAAAAATCATACATTTCAGGACTAAGCAAAACCATCTTTGGTTAGCATGATTCATCCACCTAAACTAGGTTATGGTAGAACCATCTTCCCTAGGCATGGCCTATCAAGGTCCTTCAATTGTATATTGAAGGATATGAAATTCTATTATCTATCATAAATTATCTTCAATTGGTATGGACCATCTACCTAACTAAATTAATCTAAAGGTGTAGCCTGGTCCATCTTCCTTAAGTATAATCTATATAAAATCTCAATTAACATGCCAATATAACCATTTCATATATTCATTCCTATTGTCACTATAGGAAATCAAGTGCATTATTGTGCCAATATGATTTCTAAGACAAGATAAACATATCAACATAATTATATATTCAAATGAAGTCATACATTCCTTCAATGTATAAACATATATATTCAAATGAAGTCATACATTCCTTCAATGTATAAACACATCAATTCAATATAAACACATTCTAATTTATGAAACCAATATATACAAGATGAATCCCCAAATTGAAATAGCAATTAACATATTTACTTGGTCTAGGTTACATCAACTCCTTAGGAAGGGACTCAGTTCCTCATGGACATGGTAGCAACTTCAAGGATTGAAGAAGAAGAAGATTCCCCTTGCAGCTCCATTGTTATAAAACTCAGCATAAAACCCTAAGGAAAATCTCTCTCCTTCTCTCTCTTTTTTTAGAATCCAAAACTAATTAATTAAAACCAGGCCTCTGCCCCCTCTTAATCCCAAAATAAGTTTCCAAACAACCCAACTCGTCAAAATTCAAATTCCCACTTAAAAAGGAACAAACTTTGACTTATTCAAAATGGGGGCCCGTAGGCTGGCATCCAGACGCAAAGCATAGTGTCTAGACGCGAGGTGTAGCTTCATGGTGTCCGAACACGAATACTGGCATCCAGACACAAGGCTAGTACTTGGCTTGGCTTGGTTACTTTCTTCTCTTCTGCAGTGCTAAATATAACCAATGAATGTTTGGGCCATCTCTTCTTGAAAATCACTTGGTATTTAGGCCCGATATGACTTGTTCTTCAAAAACCCTTAAAACCTTATTTTTATTTCTTTTTAGGAAATAAACCTGCGAAAAACACAAAAACACAAAAATGAAGATAATCTATATACAAAGATCAAATAATGGGTTTAACTAATGCAATTAAGGGCGCTTGAATATGCATTATTCAGCGCTTATCACACCCCCAAACTTACCTTTTACTAGTCCCTTAGCAAAAATAAAATGAAACACATAATTCATTATCCACATTTCTCCTCTTTTGTGGGAGTGATGATTGCATTTAGCATATGCAACAAGCCTTTTAAACTCCTAGGTATCCCTAGAGGATGAGTGAAGTCTCGTGAGAGTTTACCAGAAATGATACCCACAAAAATTAAGCAACAAGGCTCATTCTAGTATAAATTGAAACATATGACTTTGGGGGAAAGACTCTATCATGAAGAGTACAACAAGTATGCATACAATGACATCTCAAAATAATATTCAATTCCCATCATTCATGCATCAACAAAATAGTCCACATACATAATCTTCAACATCTCATTTATAATAGAATTTCATCTCAAGTTCCTTAGAAGTGAACTGAAATTTCATTTTCTTTTAAATGCACTTTTAACCCTTTTATGGCTCATTCAATGTCTTCCACATCCTTAATTTATCTTTTAAAATCATAATCCAAGGTATGAATTTATTTGAACACATTTTTTTTTTTTTTGTGTGTATATGTGTTTTATTTTTATTTTTTATTTATATCTATATATATATATTATACATGATCATGTGCAATGTCTAAGTTCCTTAAGCTCTCTAATCGCCCTATGTAACAAACGTTGAGCCAATGACTCCCAAACCAGATGCTCTTAGGGTGTTAAGTGTAAAAACACTCCTAATGGCGTAATGACTCGAAATGGTTAGGCTACAAACTCAAACTAATCATACATCTTACATTCTTTCCTTGTCTTCCTTTTTAATCAATTGACATATTGAAATAATGCAGTTTTATTCAAAAAAAAAAAATTTTTTTTTTTCAATGCCAAGGATTATTTCATTCATCCGACTTACTAATTCAGAGAGCCAATTAACTAAAACCACAAGGAACGGAATACAATTTTCGGTGTGCTCAATGTGCATTGTTAAGTTACTTAGAGATGAAAAACTCCAAAATAAAACATTTAAATCATGCAATGGACCTTTTTCATTTGAACAATCATGTTAGCAACTTTTAATCTTTTTTTTCCTGAATGGGATATTTTTTTGAATTTTATAAATAGAAGTACAATAGAACAATTACAAATGGGGAGGATAAACCTCCAAGAGAAACAGAAGAATGGACAACAAGTCCATCCACAGCAAAAATAAAAACCAAATCCTAACTAGGAAAACCAGAAAGAAAACCAAAGCCTTCTTAAAATGAAAATGAAAGCAAAAGCCATCCTGAGAAAGAAATTCTGAAAAACCAAACCACAGCAAAATGACTGCAGCAAATTCCAACAACCAATTATCTAGATCAGAGCAAACATCAGCAATTAAAAATTAGAATTAAGTCTTCCAATCCCAGCTTGAGGTATGACAAAACCTCCCATACAATAACTTGTGCAACATATGTAGCTTGATCTTGACTTCCCTTATGCAAAGCTTCATTTCTAATAGCCCAAATTTTCCAAATAGCAGTTGAAAAAATTGCACTCAACACTTTAGATTTAGTAGAATTCATGGTAGTTTGCAAACTGAACCACTCCACCAATTGCAACACTGAATTACAACCTAAATAAACAATATTCAGTAGGGAAAAAATCTCATGCCAGACCTTAGTAGCGTAGGGGCAAAAATAGAAGAGATGGTCATTTGAATC